AGGTGCGTGTGCCGTTCAATCCGAGAGATGTGCAGTGGTGAAACACACACTTAACAAAAAAAACAAAAAAAAAATAATAAATCGGTTTGGAGCTGATTTTTATGCTTCTACAAATTGTTGGCTTCATGGTTTGACTTGGTTTACACCTCACACCGACTTGGAATGCTGGACAGGCGGAGGAGGAGGAGGAGGAGGAGGAGGAGGTCGCACTGCAACCATTCAGCCTGACCCTCGAAAGGACGTAAATACTTTTCTTGGCCATAAGCCCCTGTCGCCTTCTATTCTCTTCTCCCAGTTTTTCTTATTTAACTTTTAAGACCCTTTTTAGTGTAATTGCAAAATTTTGCATGCAAACATGCTTTTGCAACAACCAAGACGAGGTTAGGAGCGTCTCTTAGGCAGTGGACAACGCATCACCGTCTACAGCATCGAGGGTAATGTGGCGACCTAAACTTAGGCATCCGATGAGGCGTCACAGAAGACGATAAAAAGATGTGACCCACTTCCACAATTCCTCACCTCAACACAAACCAGGTTAAAGCATTAAGGGTGGAGTCTGAGGCTAGGCTACTGATACATCCACTTGGTCATGCACAGCACTGAGAGTATAAAGTGACGACGACTTGAATGAGTACACTCACATACCCTCACACACATCAACCGTCATGACATCAACAAGCCCCTCCAAAGCCATTATCAAGAATGCTGACATGTCGGAGGAGATGCAACAACGAGCTATCGACTGTGCCAAAGATGCTATGAATCAATTCACCATTGAAAAGGACATAGCTGCATACCTTAAAAAGGAGTTCGACAAACTCTACAGCCCCACTTGGCACTGCATTGTGGGTCGTAATTTTGGCAGGTGGGTATTGAGTTGTTTGGTGAGGCGTGACGTATATCGCGATCTCACTCACCTTTATTCCCCCTTTTAGCTACGTGACACATGAGACAAAAAATTTCATCTACTTCTACATGGGCCAGGTGGCTATTTTGCTGTTCAAGTCTGGCTAATGTGTTGTTGTTACAAATAAATCCTTCAATATTTGTACTCTTAAAGAGTGTTTTACGATGTGATGCGATTATGACAATTAAATTTTATTAATGGACAAAATGTATTCGTAAGATGCAGCATTTCTTTAAATAGCACGCGATGCTGGGACCTAACTACTCACTAAGTATTCTTCAAAATTAAGTAGTATAAAAGTACTGCTCAGCGAATCAGCTAAAAGTAATCGGAAATTTTTAACAGATGAAACAGCCATTTGTTATTTAAATGGCGACCCACATCGTTCAGGCCGATAAACAAAATCTGCAAAAAATCGTAGCGTGAGCAAGGAGTGTGGCAAATGTTGAGCAGGCAAAGTCGCCTCACCATGGCGTTGACTGCAAGTACTCTCAAAACTAGAAATGTTATGCTAATGTTTCATGATCGACGCCCTTTTTTGAGTGGTCAACTTTAGAATGGCTTCAGAAAATGTCTAACTTTGGATGCACTTCACTTTAACATTTTAACAAATTCATCAAACCACTTCACAGGACAACAAGTCCCGACCTATGCCTGAACGATAAAACTACCACAAAGTCACAGACTCGCATACTGAAGAAGAAGGCTACGGTGTGATGTTGGTGAGAAGAGTAGCAATGATTCAGAGATTCACGTGAGTGGAATGCAGGCGATGGTAACTTCACTCCACTCCACCGTGCTCACACGCACACTCTCTTAGCCTCACATATACAACCACTAGGCAGGTATCGGGAGAGGGAGACAGGCGAAAGCATGAACGGCTTAGACAATTTACTTAACGACAATGGAGGAAAGGGTGACAAAGGCATCCAGGTGGTCGTTCGATCTACTGATATGAATGACGCACAGCAAACAGAAGCCGCGAATATCATCGCGGAGGCGCTTACTATTCATTACAAAGAAACGCAGGTGGCCAAAATGGTCAAAACGCACTTTGATGAAAAATATGGACGAGCATGGCAATGTATTGTAGGAAAACATTTTGCAAGGTATGTCTCTACCAGTTAATGTTAAGTGAAAAACCCTTTATTTTATTGAAACCCTCCAGTGGATTAAAAGCGCCTTACTCATCGAAAAGCTTTCGTTGTAATTTTGAAACTACTCGCATAGAAGAATTTAATGGTTTTGAAATCTACATTACAAATTCAGGCGCGAAATTTGCACATCCTAAAATTTGACAGTCATTTGCATTTTCGAGCTCTAGAACACAAACTCTTCAACGGCACACTTCTTAAGATTTCCTTTCGGCACCTATTTATACTGTGTTTTTCTCTTTAAATCATTAACCATCCTTATGCAACTTTGTTTTTATTCACCTGGTATTGTTCACATAACTCACTGAGAATATCTTTGATGACAATAATAATCCATATAGCTACAATTCTTCAAAAAATTTTAAAACAGGACCCAATATCCAGTGGGAATAAGTGAAATGCTTAAGTCTATGATTCAAAAACGCAAAATACTGCTGTCATGTCGACCGTGCCTAAAAGATCAAGGTCGGATTTTGGGTCGCTCGTTGGTTGGGTAAAACGCTCTCGAAGCAAACAAATTGTGGCTACCTTTTTGACATTGTTGACCCCATCTTTAAGCTGCAGCATAATAATTACTAATAACTAACATGAGCGAACAGTACTGAGATGCTGATTGGCTAAGCGTTAAATGCAAAAAATTAAAATAGTTGCATATTCTATGCAAACTCTCGCAGTCTATCAAAGATTTATCCTATTAGCGTTTGATGTTTTGTCGGCGCTGTGCTGTGCTTGCTCCTTCCAAGGCATTTCTGACAGCAAACTTTTTTCACAACGAAATCTGGAGCTATTGACACTTAACACTTGATTATCAAATGCTCTAAATTGATCGGTCCAAGCGCACTCAAAAACTCCCAACTTTTAAGTAATTACAACAGTAGTGGAGGCTTAGGTGTTGTTTATTTTACTTTTACTGTCAAGCCTGACTTTTCCCAATCTGGCGAACTTAGAACTTTTGCAATATAGTGCGCTTCCTTAAATCTGGGGATTACCTTCAACGCAAACTGTGTGGTACTCTCGCTCACAATTTTGTTTTTTTTGTGTGTTGAAGCAAATAAGTACAATTTTCCGCTATCGCATCTTTGTGTTGGATTTAGATGATCAAAGCGGGGTTAACTGTAAATCACCCTTTCTGTTGCCTCCCTTTTTGACTGCGCCCTTAAACAGCAGTAGCCGCGTTGAAGGTTTCTTGCCTCCATAAATCAAGCCACTTTTTACAGCTTTACTTCCCCCTATCACATGAAACACTTAATCCAATTTTCTTTGCAGCTATGTCACCCATGAAGTTAGCACGTACCTACTTGTCCACGTGGGGAGCGTCAGTGTAATGCTCTACAAGACGCCATGCTGATTGCCGATGGAACTGCGTAACCTAAATTTAACTTTGTAACTTAGTGCTCCTTTCAATTTTACCGCTCTTGCCTTCCGTTAGAATAGTTTTTTTTTTCATATTATAAACTGTAAAATCGCTCTTGGTTTTTTCCGCCCCGTTTATAATATCACCGCTTTAAACTTTGGATCAGAATGCAATAGACGTACCGCTTTGTCTTTTAAATGCACTTTAGAGAAGTAAACATCTTTGGTTATTGACCTTAAAAACGTCGGCTGTATCATTACAGTCCCATTTTGTCAATTTGCCTTCATCTTGCTGAGGCTTGCCAAGGGTAATAGGATTGTCAACAGCATAGCACGCTTGTCTTAAGTGCCATAGACGTGCTGCCAAATATGAATTGGTTTACTTAAACGCAATAGGCATTCTCATTCCTTCTTCAGATCGCACCACTCATGAATCATTGAAAGCAAAATGTTGGCAAAAAATACAATTGCTCCTGTTTCCTGCTTTGAACACTTGGCTGCCTAAATGAACGGGAAGATGGAGCGGATGTTGGTTCATTTACTCTTAAAAGTGAGACATAAAATGACAAAATTTGGGCTATGCGTTGATCGCGTAAATTTTCAGTTTTGTTTAGTTCTCCGATCTGAAGTTTTCTTTTGTGGTATGGTGCTAAGTACTACCTTAAAAGATTGATGGCTTGAAAAGTTAAACGAACACACTCCTACATAGCAGCAAGGAATTACGAAACTCTCAAATTACCTTTGACGAAGAAATGCGATGATCTGGTTCTTGGCACAACCTATGGCTACCGAATGTCTCCCTTGATTTTAGTCGGGAGTACTTAATACCAACTTTGAAAAACTTGAGCCGAGAGAATCGATGGAAAATGAGAATGAGATAAGGCGAATTTTACTTGACAGGGACTCAAGCTTCACAGCCAGGATGTTAGTCAAGTATACCCATATGCACTTTAAAAAGGTGCAGGCAATTATTCACAACTACCTCACATTAATAAAATTCTGCATTTTCAAAGACGGTTTCGTATAGTTTATGCGTTCGGAGAATTATCAGGCCGTAAATCATCAACTTGAAAGGAGATTTTCGAGGAATGTCCGCGCTATTTTTAGTAATGCATTACTTTGACTAAAATTCATGTTTAGTGCAACAAAAACTTCTTCGGTGAGAATATGTTAACCATTTCTCAGTTGTAAAAATTATACTTTTATTTTTATCACTTGCTACTTACAAGTAATAAGTAAAAAGTATATTTTCGATTGTACAGATATTTACTTGCTACAGATCAGTGGGTGGCGGTTTAAAGGTTCACCGCCAGTTGGTGTAGGTTGCAAGAGCATAAAATCTTGGCCTTTCATTCTATAAATTGCACCTTCTGTCGAATTTAACTGCTAACTATACGTTAGAGGGGATTTGTTATGTCCAACTTTAAAGTTCAAATCCAGAAAGGAATACTGTCTCATCTATTTCGATTCTGCCTTTTCTACCGAGAGTTCATTTCGCAAAATCAGCATTCGTTTTGGAAGATGAGTTATACAAAGTATAGGCTGTAATATGTGTTGCTGAATGGAGTGGTTATTATGCGGATCCGGAACACTACTGGAGTGCATATTCGTCAACCCAATTAAGCCTACTAAATGGCATGCCTTTTAGCTTGTTTGCATTTTGTTGATCTTCTTGAAGATTAAAACAGCAGCTCCAAGTACTCAGCTTTTAGTTGCACCTATTTTGGTAAAAGCGAAAAGCGGTCTTATGCGACCTTGGTGGTCAAAAGTTTCATCTAATATCTTTCCAGCATGAGCGATTTGATCTACGCGTGGAAAGTCGGCGCATACGTGATCGCTACAGCAAATTCTGGAAACCCATTGTCAAACTTTGGCTGGAGAGAGCAGGCGTAAAATACGTCACTTCGATTGTTGCTATAAATCAGATGTGACGCGAAAGGCCA